ACAATGACCGGTCATTTTGGGGTCATTTAAGGTCATTTGAAAATTTTGCAAATGACCAGGTCATTTACCATCACTGCACAAAAAAGGTATACTCTAAATGCATCTTTATAAATGCACGTATATATTAAAATATAATAGAATTACTCAACTTTTTTCCTAATCGCCTATGTGGACCAAAGAATATACATTTAGAAAAGTCTCTTTGTAATAAAGTGAATTTTTGCTGGAATGAAATAATATATTTATAACTTATATCGATATGTGATATAGGAATTTATGTATAACTTTAAATGCACAAATAGGGTCACCTGTGTAATTTAGATTATGTAATCCTATGTTAAATTAACATTTAAGAATTGGGTAACCGAACATCAATTGCATTCTTCCAAACTTATAACAAGATATATTAAGACATTCAATAACGATAATGGCAAACAACAAAAGAAATATCTATGATTCATCACCGAATGTCGATATGGAAATTGATGATGATAGCTTATCTGACACTAGTCAACAATCAGAAGTTAATCAACAAGCAAAACGTCGACGTACCGGGAGTAAAAGCGGAGTTAGTGGAAGAAGTTTCTGTTGGAATCACTTTAAACCATATCCTGAAAAAATGGGGATCGAAGTAAAATGTCAGGTTCCCAGGTGTACGACAAAATACACCTGGCGTGGATCAACTTCCAATCTTGTGGGTCATCTTAAAAAAATACATAAAATTGTAGAACCGCCGAAACCTGTTAAAAAACCTAACACCAATTCTACATTTGAAATTAATCTACCGTTGGTTAAATTCATTATCACCTCCAATCAATCGTTCGATGTTGTGAATCATATGGCGTCTACCGGATTTTTCAATAAACCATATCAGATACCAAAAACAATACATGAAATAGAAGAACAAATTAACAAAACGTATGATAAATTATTCTCAAAATTAAAACAAATGATTCAAAGTGCGGAATCTGTTGCGTTAGCGATTCATGTTTGGAATATTGATGATAAAGAAAGTTTTGAAAAAAATTTTATGGAAATTACATGCCATTGGTTAACAACCGATTTTAAATTCCATAGAATTCTCTTGTGTATGACGGAATTTGATAGTATTGATGGCACTATGACTGATAAATATATTGAACAAATTCAGAAAAAGTGGGAGTTGACAAATTATGAATTTCTTACTACAGACTTTTATGCAGAAGATGAATTATCTATATTGTCAGAATTTAGCAATCATAAATATATCCGTAATGCTTCCTACTTCCTAGAGTCATTATTACCGACTTGTTTGGAACAATGTTTAAATGTTGAAAATCAGGGTATTCTGGAAAAAGTTGAAGAAATTAAAAGCAAAATTGAAGAAATTCAAGATGTAATCAAAATTTTAAAGGAGGAAGAGGCACAGGAAAAGTTATCGACATTGACTAATTTTGATATTGGCAAGATTATTGAAGGAAAGTGGGGTTCTACTTACTTTGGATTAAAATATATTGTGTCAATGGAACAACAAATTAATAGTTTAGTTAGCTCTTGGTGCAGCGATAGAGATGATAATGTCAAAAGCAAAGGAGATGAGCTTAGAGCATTGCTGCCAGATTCTTCACAATTTAAGATATTATCTAAATTATCACAAATATTTGAACCTTTGGAATCAGTAGAGGGGATTATGAACGATTGCGATTATTTGACAATTAATGTTATGCATTCTATTCTTGCAAAATTAGTTAATGGAATCAAATATAGAGCCAATAATATAAAGAATGACCCCGCATCTTCTACTGGAAATAATTTAGAAATAAATACAATTCAAGCAATTGCAGATTCGATTTACAATTTTTTAAATACTCCTAATTACTTTGAGATATTCTTCTATGCCAATACTGCAGATGTCGGAAATGTGGCCTCCTTATTAGATCCACGTTTCAAATTGACTTATTCTTCAGAAGTAAGTATATATATATTTATTTATTTTTTATTTGAATTTTTGAAGATCAAATATTAAAGTGTTTTGGCATTAAAGAAAGCAAAAGAATTCGTGCAAAAAGGATGTGAAGATTTTTATTCAGGCCAATCAAGAAATGCTGAAAATCCAATAAGCAGCGAAAAATTACCAGAACGCCAGACTACATTGGTATCTGATTTTTTTTCAGACCACAGATCCGCAGACTCAACTTCTAACTCAAACAGTATGCTTGATGATGATGATGAAGCGAATCCGCAAGAGAATTCACGAGAAAAGGCAAGCAGAGAGCTTAAAAGTTATCTTGACCTACCACAACAACAGAGTAACATAGACCTATATAAATGGTGGCAAAAATACCAAGGCTTATATCCTGGATTGGCTGTTCTTGCAAGAAAATACTTAGCAGTACCTGCAACTTCATATTCCTCCCGATTATCAAAAAATGAACATAAGGAAAGCCTTAAAATTCTTTTGAATACTTATAAGGATCCTGATATGATAAGTAAAATTGTTTTTTTACAGCATAATAAGAATTATCTTGATGAATTATTTTAATAAAGTCAATCAATAGGCAATTATTTAAGTTAACGTGCTTAGTGTATAGTCTTTTGTAACCAAAATATAATAATCTCAATAAATATAAATTTTTTTAACCCGAATTTGATTTCAAGTGTAGTTATAATGAAATTGTCTCGATAAACTGAGTGCATTTGACAAATATTACCAATAACTTAGTGATTTCGGTTTATTATAGTTATAAACGAAAATCTTACGCATTTATTTTATTCAACAAATTCGAATGTTTTTTGTACAATAGAACTCTCATAGATTTATAATTATATTATTGCGCTTTGCAAAAAGATGTGACCTTTGCAGAGCACAATGTCGCGTGAAAATCGGAGATTCTGTAGATTTTAAGAATCTTACTAAATATAAATATAACTGATCGAAAATATGAATTAATAGACATTTTAGAATCTCGGAAATTTTCCTCGTTCATCATCACAAAAATCATGGGGTCATATCTTTTTTGCAAAGCACTATAATATAGAATAGCAGATAGCCAATTTTTGATTTATATTTAAATTATTAATAGTCTATAAATCTGGAAAGTTGTTATCTGATTACCCATATGTTTTTATTATAATTAATTGCTCAAAAAAATACATAATACTGTAATAGTTTGTTTTCTAATTCAATTAGCTAAGTTTTAATTCTGCTATAATTTAAAAAACATGATTAAATAAAAAAACAATAACAAAGTCACAATCTAATTTTTTAATTTTTGTTTACAGAAGAAATTAAAAGATAAGCGATATTTTCAACAGAATCCAAGAGATCAGAACTTAATGATTTATAAATAACTTGACCAGTATTGGAGTTGACATTGACAAACCCACGTTTACAATTTGGACAATTATTAAAAAGTTGGCTTACTAAAATCAAATCATTATTAGATAGCTTTTCAGATTCGATTTTAGCAATTTTAGCGTAAGATATTTTTTCCTGCTTAGAACTTTTCCATGTGACAGGCCTTTGACCAAAATTAAACTTCTCATGATTATCAACGTCAACAACACTATTATAAAGTACATATGTAAAAATAATGCTATTACAAAACTATTAACGATAAACCAATTTATTTGCTTACCATGTGTATAGTGCTAAGTTTTGCAAAACCTCTTTGTCAACAGGTTTGTCTATATCTTTAAGATTATAAACAAATAAACACGCAGAGTCTTTATAAGTTGAAAAATGTGTACCAACCACAAATTCTACTGTCCTTGGATCATATTCTATGTTGTATGGGATGATTTCCGTAGATTCTGAAGAGCTCACACTGCTTGCAGAGCTTAGTTGAGAATTTTCTTTTCTTGTGGCATCAGTATTGCTTATAGAACTTGATTGAGAATCAGCTTCTAATGCGCAAATGCCAAAAATACAAGTTTTGTAGTTATTAATTTTTACGGTGCAATGATTCTCTTTTATGGATGCCATTTGTTTCATACTTCTAAATGCTAATGGAAATTGGATGCTAAAGTCGAAGTTTGTTAGCGGTCCAACAATAATCCATCCGAGCTTAATTGGACAATAAATTGTAGAACTGGAATTTTCCTTTTTAATATTGTGAACAACAATTACTGGGGTATTTTTATCTTTATTTACATAGTCTATATGAGCAGAAAACAAATTTTTATCACTTTTGTTCATTATTGACGCAAAAACTTGGTAATTATGTACATGTCCAACTTCCTTTATGTGCGGAGACAAATTATGTATGTATGGTGGTATTGAATTAATAGAACCTTTCAATTCAAAGGGAATATCTTCAGTACCAGCTATATTTATAAAGAAGTTTGCGACATAATGAAATTAGCTATTTGTATATTTATCTTTATAATAATTAAATATTTTACCTTTTAAAATTCTGTGGCCCAAAGCACTCAAAACTTCTTTTTGCAAGTCTTTCTCTAATAATTCAAACAGTGAATAAATTTTATCGTATCCAATTATTTTCCAGGTAGACACATCTTCGAGAGATTCGTTCCAAGATTTCATGCCATTTTGGAAATATTTATCTTTGTTCCCACCGATAACATTGACAGAATTAGAGATATCTGTATTATCGCCATGAACCGCATTTTCAACATTGGTATTAGGTCGAAACAAGGACATAATGCTGAATCCATCTTCACCTACTGTATAACCTAAAAAAAGTTATTCAGAGACTTAAAATTTGAAGAGGATTCATCTCATATATTCACCTGAATTTTTGAAATGTGATTTATTTTTAACTATAGCCCCACCTAAAACGAGACGATGCGCATAAAAATGACCATATTTTTCCGATACATCACGGAGCTGCTTGATTATATCTTCTCCGTTACTCTTTAATGCAGCTTTAACATCTCTAATAAATTCATCAGTCGCAATAATACCTGAAATAATGATTTCTTTTTTTGGTCGCCATTCGTACGAATGCATGGTAGATGTCTCTAAACTATTAAATGGTTTTTCAGAGTTTGTTCGAAATAGTTTAAGAGAATTACAAAACCATTCTAAAGCAGCCGAAAATTTTCCATCAATTATAAGGTTTCGTTTACAATTAGTGCTAGGTGCATGTTCACATTTATAAGTTTTGTCTTTACGATCACATCTTGGATCCGATGGAGGTTCAATTTTGCTGATGTCAATTTTAAAAGCTTTATCTTTAGCATTTTCAATAGAACCATCTGTATCAAATTTAAAACCTTTCTCACGTTCTAATTGTAACAAATCGAATTCTGAAATTTCCTTTTCCATATATAAAAAATATTCATTATCACTTGTTTCGATGATTTGCAAAAGATTTAATTTAGATTCGTCTTTTCGTGAAATTCGGGCCCCATTTTTTTTTCTTATAAAATAGCAATTGGTTCCCATTTTGAGTTCAATTCGAATAAAATTAAGGGTTTTATTTTGAGATAAAAACGTATATTCTGGCCTTTTATTTTCTGAATCTGATTTAATTATTGTGATGCCAATTTCATAATCCATTGTTGAAGAAGGTGATTCTATAGGGTAACATTCGTATTCAGCGAATTTATTTAGATGATTTTCGGTTTCGACTAATTTTGAAATATTAGATTAACAAGATTTTATAAATACAAATAAATAAAATAATAATATATCTTTTAACATACGGATTGAATTTAATCCATTATTCCATATTACTACTCGATTGCGATATTCTTTAGCTTTCTTCGATGCATTGTCAGCATATAGAAGCAATTCATCAAAAGTTTTTACTGAAGAATTCATTTCGGAAACTCCAATGCTAAGTGTAACCGATAATTGGGTTTCGTTATAAATAAACGGGTGACCTTCAACAGAAGCTCGAATTTCTTCAGCGATTTTAGATGCCAAATTTATATCAGCATCCTTGAGAAGAATAGTAAACTCATCTCCACCATATCTTGCAAAAATATCCTCAGAGCGAACATGATTCTTCTGAATCAAATTAGCCAGCTCTTTTAAAGCGTAATCTCCAGTCAAATGATCATTTTGATCATTAATACTTTTAAAATGATCTAAATCAAAAAATAATAAACTCAAATCCCGTTTATTTTCTTTTGAATTCTTGAATACATTCTCCAATTTTTTCGAAAAGTAAGTCTTATTATAGATCAACAAAGGTTCATCTATGCGATTTTTATATTCTCCAATGGGAAGGTATTGAAATTCGCTATGTCCCATTGAAATCACATCATCTTTTGTTAATGGGCAGGAAGTACGAAAGTCAAGTTTTTTGCCATTAATAAAAGTCCCATAATCAGAACCTAACTCATTAATTTCGACTTGTCCCTGATTATTTACAATAATCCTTGCATGTTTTCTAGCAATTTTATTGTCTTTTATAATGACATCATTTGAATTACTCCTTCCTACAGATATTTCACCTGGAGGAAGGAAAATGTATAAATTTAGAGCAGACCCTTTAATAACTTCTAAACAAGCTGCATTATTCGACGTAAACTGAATTATGTTTCTAAAAGAACTTCCCAAAGAAATTTCTGGGATATAATCAGAATCTTGATATAAGCAATCAAACTCAATATCTTTAAGACGATTAATGACTTCGTTAATTGATGGTCGTTTTTCGGGGTCAGAATTCCATGAATCACAATAGAGTTCTTTGTAATCTACAGGAGTTAAATGAATAGGAACTTCTCTATTTTCAAGAGCAAGAAAAGTTTTTAATTTTTTTATGTCTTTTAATTCAATATTATCACTAAAAGGAGGTCTGCCACTTGATATTTCCCAAAATATCACTCCTAAACTATAAATATCGAATGATTTATTATAGTTACTCGTAGGATTAAAGAATTTTGGATCCACATAGGCAACATTTTCTTCGGTGATTTTGAGAGTAGGTTCTGTTTGACTTTCAAGAGACATGGATGAGCTAAAATCTGTAATCATCAATTTGCCGTTGAGGTGCATTATGTTTTTCGAGTTCTACGTATTATGGATATTTATAAAAATATAACTGTTGAAGAGGATCACTTGCATACAACAAAATCCCTTCTACTAACCAGATCACAATGTACAACATTCGCATCATGAATAAATTTCAAACCCGTGGCGATTTCAGTGGCCATTTGTTTTTTATAAAACCATTCGCCTTTTTCTTCCTTCAAATGTTCCCTAAGATTTTTATCAGAGAAAAACTGAAGCACCATAGAATGAAATTTCTTGAGAGGATCTTAAAAAATTAAAAATCAAGGCGTATTAATCAAATAATAAAGCACAGCACGTTGTTGCTGAAAAAAATATAAATACACATGTAAATACCTTTAGTTACCCCATAAAAACCGTTCACGTTATCATTTTGGAAAATTTTTTTTAAATTTGCTATCTATTTATTCGCAAAGTAAATACCGCATATATTTTAGTAAAGATCTCTAACTTCTAAATTTGTTTCCTTTTCAGTTTGGTTAGCATACCTCTCTGCGAAATTTTTTATAATATTCACATTCATCTTGATTACATTTTAAAAATTTGATGACGACGTGTTTATGATTAGTCTCCATATAAGCAAGAAAAACTTCACTTGAGCCATCTGAAATTCTTTTTATAATTTGAAATTCATTGTATTTAAACTCTTTCAAATACCCTTTTCCAATTTCATCAATAATCGGATTCATATTAATGGAAAAACGTCGTACGTACGTACGTACATATTTTATACGTACACACACATTTTATACGTACGCATTGTTACATAACTTTGTAATAAACACTCAAAATAGAAAGCGCCTTCGCAAATTTGACCATCGGTGTTACATACCACCGCATTTATACTGTCTGTACTTCTTTGCTAATTTGTGATAAAAGTTGCATTTAGATTTTCATCAAGAATACAATTTGTGTAGTATCGTTGAAATAAATGATAGACGTTAACATATTATGACTGAAGTTCAAGACGCCACGGAGAGCATCAAAAATATTAATTCATTGAAAATTAACCATGGCTTGATTATAAGTGCTGAAGGAGTACACCCTTCAAATTTTTCTGCATATTCATATTCGTCATTTTCGCTGCCTAAAGTTAGAAAATTAAACACTAGATCTTTTCAGTCAATGCTAAAATTTTCTACAAAGCAGAGAGATTCTTTCTTGTTTGAGAATCATATTGATCACCATGCTATTAACTTGATAAATTGTGATTGGATATCTGCAAATTCCACCGAAAACCCTTTAACTAATGAATCACTTGTCAATGATATATGTTTGAAAATACAATGTTCGAAATTTGAATTGATTATTGAAAAAGAAACGATAAAACCTTCTAAGGAATTGATTGCCAAAACAAAAGAAGCTCTGAAACATTATAACCCTTATAATGAATTAATGACTGTTTTCGAAATTTACGGAAAATTTCTTCCTAAAAAAGTTATTCTTGGACATAAAATATACAGACTTACTTGTTTAATTGTGGATGAGAGTCAGCCAGAAGTTAACTTTAAAGAAGGGGAACGGTCGGCCGACTTTATGACAGAAGAATATAACGATATTTTAAATCAGTGGGAAAAATGTATAGGCTCATATGGTTTTGATTCGTCTTATTTTGTGTCAATCGACGATAAATTAATTATGAAAGATCAACTTGAAAAGTGGGTGGAATCTTGTTCAGAAAGTGATTATGACTCATTACAAATAATCAGTTGGAATGAATTATATCCAATATATGAAATATTTGAAGAGCCACTTTGTCATGAAATAAAATCTATTCTTGGAATAATTTATCAACCAGAAAGATTTAATGTAAGAGAAAAGGTGTTATTTTCTGGAATAATTCCAGTTAATGTCCCAACTTTTTCTTATCGTGTGAATTTCCCAATCTGCTTTAAATCAAACGATTACCAAATTTTTGGAAAACTCGTAAACCAAAATGGAAAACCAATTGATAAAGTTTTTATCAAGTTTAAATCTATGGATGTATACGGATTCTATGCTTTCGTGGAAAATTTTAACGTGATTGAGTGAGTTTATTTCCATTGTATCATTAATTTAATTACTATTCCTTATTAATGTTTACTTTGTAGAGAGGGCATGGAATCGCAGATAGAATGGATATTAATCGGAATACCCGCTAAAATTGGATTTTTTAGCATGAATACACGAAATATTCGCATTTTAAGATCGATTAGTACTTCGTTTTCAGTAAATACGGTTGACACTAATTGGAATATTATATTAGATGTTCAAGAAAGCCTGCCACAAAATTCAATCCTCGTTACTTCATTTAAATTTTCATCAAATTACGAACTAAATTTCGAAGCTGATATTCAAAATTACCGATATAATGATAATAAAATCGAGCTTGGTGTTTATTATGCTAATGATGAAAATACAATATCTTCGCCTATGGAAATAGATGATACTTCGCCTATGGAAATAGATGACTCTTCACCTATGGAAATAGATGATTCTTATGAAAATAATTTTACAAACAGTGATGTTAATAGTGATGAATCGAGATGCTTAGTTCAATGTTTTATTCTTTCTCTAGAAAGTCAGAAAAAATCAGTAGTTCATTTGAATGCGATAGGCAACGAATTAATAACTTCGTACGATAATGTTGTTTTACCGACTGCATGGGATATTGAAGATAAATCACCGCTTATTGATATAGATTCAAGTGGACTTAAAGTGCGCTATACAGGTAATATGAAAAGAGAAATCATGCAGAACATATTTAATGTATTACTGTAATTATCGGCATTTAAAAGATCATCATAGCTATTCAATTTATTAAAAACCTTTTATTAAAGATCCTGATGACTATAAAGCAGTAATCGTTCGAGCAAATAATCCAATCCCTTCAGAGTGTGGAATATTTTACTTTGAAATTAAAATTATAAACAAAGGGAAAACCGGGTAATATTAATAATGATTTCATAATCGTCTTTGTTATTATGTTTTTTTTTATCATCTTTTAATTATATTTTCTTAATAGAATGATTGGAATCGGATATTGTACGAAGCAAAGCGATAAAAAAATAAACGATTCAGCTTATATAAATAATATGCTCATGCCTGGTAATAGCAACTTTTTAATTTATTTTCTTATTATTACAATTAACATCTATTATATCTCTTAGGTCAGGAATATAAGGAAAATAATGAAAATGAACAAAATGAGGAAAATCAAACATGGGGGTGTGGTTATCATGGTGACGATGGATATTCTTTTTGTTCAGGAAGTGGCGAACCATACGGTTCATTATATACTACTGGTGACACAGTTGGATGCTATATAAATTTTAGAAATAATATAGTATTTTATACTAAAAATGGAATCAACTTAGGTGACCAACATTTTAGAAAATTAAAATTTAAATTTCTTAAAGCAAATAGATAGAAAATTAATAATTATAAAATATTTTAAGGAATTGCGTGCCATCTATATAGCAATTTCAAAGGCATTCTATATCCTTGTGTTGGATTTAGATCGCAAGGCGGATCAATAGAAGTGAACTTCGGCAACGAAAAATTTAAATACTCTGGTATATTTATTCAAAGGGTTAATCATTTTTTGCTTATTTAAATTTAATCCTGTCTATATATTTCGATTGACAGCAATAACTAATGAAGACATAAGTAAAAAATCAAAGAATGCATTAGCATTGGAATATCAAGAAAAGGTTTATTTTATTATGGGTGGATATGAAAATATGCTTGTTAATTTAATCGATGAATTAACAAAATCATTAGAAAAAGAGCTAAATAATGTATTTGAATTAAGCTACCGAGGAAAAACATATTTTATTATGGGCAAATATGATAAAGCATTTGAAGATTTAACTAGATTGCTAGAAATCGAACCAGATAATACAATAGCATTAAAATATCGAGGAGAAATTAATTATATGATGAAAAGGTATAATGAGTCAGCCGCTGATTTGGAGAAATTATTAAGAACTAAACCAAATGACGTATGGGCAAAAAAGGCTTATGGATTAGTTAAAGGGTTGTAAGTACTATATGTATTTGTAAATTTTAATAGCTTTAAGTTTCGAAGTAAATAATAATTCGATTACCACTTATGTCAATCACAAGTCGGTAAGTACAGTAACAGAATTTTTATAGTCAAACACTATAACTAACATAACTCTTAATCACTTTATCACTATAGCTCGTAAGTACAGTAAATCAGAATTTTTTATATAGAAATTACGTTCATTCCAACACAAAACTAATATATCCATACCTAAATCACTTGTATCACCACAATAGTTAGTAAGTTCAGTAAACCAGAATTTTTTACAGTAAATACTATAGAAATCACGATCATTCCAATACAAAACTAATATATCCATATCTAAATCACTTGTATCACCACAATAGTCGGTAAGAATTTTTTGCAGTAAATTACTATAGGAATCACGATCATTCCAATACAAAACTAACATATCCATATCTAAATCAATTGTATCATTATAGCTCGTAAGTACAGTAAACCAGAATTTTTTACAGTAGATCACTATAGAAATCACGTTCATTACATTACAAACTAACATATCCACATATAAATCAATTATATCACTATAGCGAGTAAGTACAGTAAACCAGAATTTTTTACAGTGAATCACTATAGAAATCACGATTAATCCAATACAAAACTAACATACCCATATCTAAATCACTTGTATCATCACATAGTCAGTAAGTACAGTAAACCAGAATTTTTTACAGTAAATCACTATAGAAATCACGATCATTCCAATACAAAACTAACATA